TTCCATTATCCCTATACGAGCTATAGTCTAAACTCCTTAAAGGGGAGTTATATAGGGGACTACTATAGGGGTGATTAAGGGGGATACTAGGAGTTTAGACTATAGTTTATATGGAGATAGATGTGATAGATAAATATGTATGGGTATATGTACATATAGTCTGGGGTTTAGGCTTTAGAGTTTGGGGTGTAGGGCGTGTAGGCGTTAGGGGTCAGGGCTTGGGCTTAAGAGTTAGGACTTGTAGTGGACGAGGGATGGGTTCAGAGTTTGGATTGAGGCTTAAACTGTGGAGGCGATACCATATTCTGCTTGTAAAATACCATGCCCAATGGGACTCTATGAGGGGCTATAAGCCCCCCAACCCACCTCACGTCATGTTGCATTCGATTTTGCATCATTCTGATCATTGCGGTCTCTAAGCCCGAAGCTACACACTTACTTCAATTTCTGGTTCCATTTTGGAAAGCCCTGAAGTGGCCTAAACCCTCAATAAGACAGTAGCTTCCATTCTCTTTTCCTTTCTCGGAAGCCCTTAAACAAGTAGTGCATTTCTGAGAGGGGGGTGAAGCTAGCAAGATTATATTCTTCCTACACAATACCATACCCAAAAAGAGGACATAACTTTCCTTTTTCTTGTGGACTATAGTACCGCCAAATGACAAACTGACCTGTCGCCAGTGTTCTCGCAGCGGCTGCTCTGGGGGTGTGGAGATCCGCACTGAGCCAAAGAGTTCTGCATCAAACCACAGCCTCAAATCACCAGGCTCTAATCCCTAGGGATCCATGTATACAAATAATACCTACAATGGGCCCTAAAGTCTGTAAATATTACCTGCATTGGGCCTTTTGGATCCCTAGGGAATGTACTAGCCTCAATAATTACCAATGATCTTTCGGCTTTAAGGAGGTACTCTATATACCATAATTCTACGAAGAGTCTGGTTCCATGATATCATTGAGGCCCCTGGAGTAGGGTGTAAGCTTCATGTCGACTTAGGGCTTACAAGGTTTAGAGATTTTGGAGGGGATTGGGAGTTTCAGGTATCCGGATGTAGGACTTGAGGGTCCGGCTTCATGACTAGCAGCTTTACAGCAACAGGGACGTTGGGCCAAACATGCACAGCTGCACTATCAGAGCATCGAGGTTTGGGGTTTGCTGTTCAAGGTAAGAAGGATTTGCATTTTTGGGAACTGCAGATTCTCAGATGATGTCATGCAGTCCTTGTTTGAGAGCTATTCCATGGATGCTCGCGAGATCCTGTGCATGATTTGAGCATGGACCTTAAATCATGTTCATGGATGTTCTCTTGATTTTTGGAGTCTCCATGGCAAGACCCTGGTCATCTCCAGGGAGGACACTATCCCCCAGGCCAAATTGTGAACCCCCTCCCGAAGACGACGCAAGCCACTCAACTTACTGGTTCTTGGTAGGGAATCAGGGAATGTTATATATATATATATATGTTTTTGTGCGTGTGTGTATAGATAGGTATGATGTAGGGGTGTTATTCCCTTACTCCCTACTACGAACCAGCAACTGAATGCAGCAAGGAGTCGCTACACCATGCGCTTCACCAGGTTTCCTGCGAGACAGAGCATTGTGGGGATTCTGAGGTCGGATTTGACTCCAAAACACATATGGAATTGCTAGAAATACGCGCTTACATGTCTGACCACATGCCCCGCTTCGGAAGCTGCTACCACATCGTCCGAATCCTCCCAAGCCCCCTGGCCTCTTGCGTTTGGAGGCTTCCCCCCGCCCCCCCCGCCCCCCCCCCCTCCCGATCGCCCCAACTCCCAACCTTCCACCTTCCACTTCCCTACCCTTTCCTTCCCTTACCACCCCTACCCATAACCACCTAACCACCCACGGTTCTACCCTGCCCTACCCTACCCTAGCCACCCACCATCACCTGCCCTAACGACCCACGACCCTACCCTACCCCAACCTCCCAAAACCACCGTACTGTACCTTGTGGCACAAATGGTTGCGTCGTTTGCTTGCTCGGTAGAAGTTTAGTCCTCTTGCAGCATTTATCCGCGCTCCCTATAGGACATCACAGAAATTCTACATGTTTGAGGAACTAACTCCCATGGCTGTCTGCGGGCCAGGGACAGCGGCACAGACAGCGCCACTCGCCGGCCACGCGCCGGAAGCGAGGCCACAGCTGCGAAATCGAAGTCGAAGATCTCTGCAGCCGGCATTGGGTTCTGGGTTAGTTTTGGGGGTTTGAAGCTTTGTGTGTGGGGATCAAGGTGTTGGGCGTGGGGTCTAGGGTCAGTAGTGTGCAGATTACCTGAAGGGCACATATTTGTATGTTCCCTCGGGCGCCGGATAAACTATCTACAGTAAAGTAAGTCTGAGGCCTAGCAAAATGCAATGGATGCATTGGGAGAGCGCTAAAAAACTGTCCTAAAGCACCTGTGGATGGAAGAAGTCCGTCATATAAGGACCCCCAAGAAGGAATTGGGAACATACCTCAACAGTTCAAATCCCCATGCTGCCTGCGTGAGCCCAACTTCTCGTGCAATCCCAAGACGCTCTATATCTGCCACAACCCCTCCCCTGCAGAATCAGAGCCCCTCTATACCTGCAAAATCAAAGCCCCATGGTTGATGGATCTTCCAAAGCAGGATCCTTGAGCAGCCCTCCGAACTCCTCACCACCGATGCTCACTTGTCTCAATAAGCCAAATACCTGTCACTGTACAATTTCGAAGGTGAGAGAGAGGGAGAGAGAGAGAGAGACTGAGAGAGAGAGAGATATATATATATACATATATATACATATATATATATACATATACATATGGAGGTAGATAGACATATAAAAAATGTGCGTGTTGACTTCTATGCCTACTCCCTGCTTGACCCAATAGGTTGCAGGAAGCCCAAATCCTCTACCCATGCGCTCCGCCTCGAACGGTTCTGAGACAAACTCGAGGAGACCTGCAGGACGGAAAGCCTCTAAAGCTCTAAGGTATAATACAGGGTTTAGGGGTTTAGGGTTTAGGGGTTACAGGTTTAGGGTTTAGGGGTTCTAGTATTGGCCCTTGACCCTGGGGATGCTCATGTACACTGGTTCCTGGAATGCCCCCAAAAAGCCTAAGGGCCCATGTTTGGTGCGCATGTTTAAAACCTTAGAAAGCCGGAGGATACCGTGATCATGGAATACTAGGTTCGTGGAGCAGGAACCACTGAGCAAAGGAATGTAGATCTACCAGAAACGACAAATGATGCTAGGAATAGTTGTGAATGGAGGATTCGGGTCTCCTTGCAAACAGATGCAGAGGCTCCCGCTTTTTGTAAAAGCCGGATGACAGATCAGAGGTCGACATATCAAAGAAGCCCGCCATTGCTAGCCTAGTTTCAGCAGGTTCTGGTATACTAGTCGACATGAGAGAGCATTAGTGTCCACCCTCCTGATGACTTCTAATAGAACCCGCCCCACCTCCAACTCGTCTAGTACGGTACAAATTTACATTGGGAATACTTAAGTAATTACTAGGGGGTTGGAGAGCACGCTGATGTATGCAGCAAGGGAGTTGACAGCTCGAGACGTACTCATTGGATACCACAACCCAAGCCAGCTTCTGACAACAGAAATCCATGCTCGCACATTTTCAGCATACAGCAGGAGCTGCTGGACGCGTCACACGTCGGACATAAAATACCCAGAGAGCCCGAATTCCATTCAGTATAGAGGAACATCCAAACCTCAACCTGAAGAAGGGCTTTTTCATCTCAGCTGAACAAAATCGTCAACAAGGGCTTTCGGCTCTGTGAGTACCTACCCTAAGCAGCAAAGGGTTGGCAAAGCTTTGCCCCGCTGGCGCTTTCTCACCCTGCGGCTGCCCTCTACACCCTGGCAAGCAGCGCTTTGTGGACTTCACAAAGTCCCCAGAAAAGCCAGCCCCTCAATTATAGATGATTCCAAGCCTAGAAGAAACTGCAGGTTATCATGTCGCTTAGTCCAAGGGCATGGGGCTCTCTGAGTCTGCCGCTTGCTTTTGCAATCAGATTTGTCAGTCGTGCTCAACCTTTTGCACATCGGTGGGGAAGCCATCCCGCTGCTGAGCCACAATTCCTGGCAATGGCAAACCAATGTCCAATGCTTGCGATGTAACCTAGGGGACGTGAGATAATCAGGGAACCAAAAACTATGCCGATCCGTATCATGTCAGGAGTTGGCTCTAGCACGGAAAGCCGTCTTTTCAGTGCTTTTGAGGAAGCAGACCCCACGCTGTCCTGGCCAGAGGAAGTAGCCTCTTGGGTGCATAGTATGATCCGCATGTCCCGGCTTCGGAGGCTTCAATCCTGCTGGTGCAAGCGAGCTGTGTTTCACCAACTTGCCGGATGGAGTCCCAATGAGCTTGGAGTGCAAGTTGCTGAATTGTTCCGGGCCGCTAAATTTGCGACCACAAACTCTTCTCTTGACTAATTACTTGCAAGAATCTGCAGGAAAGAGCTAAGCTACGCGTGGAGGGCATGGGCTGTATAAGTGGTCATCTCAGCTGAACACTTGCCAGGCACGTCAACAACATCATGGACCTTACAAACCCTATAATCCCCCACAGAATCCCAGCTTCCATTTCATGTTCCATGTTATTTTCCTTTTGATTCTGCATTATAGTAGGTACCCCTAATTTTGGGAAATTCTGCATGTTGGCTTGCTGGCTCGGTTGCCCGCTTCTTGTAGGAGCTGTGGGCTTACTGCATGTGGAGGCTTTCCGAGCTGCGGTCGTTGTTCCGGAGGTGAGAGCTGTACGGCCTCATGGTGCTTGCTGTCTGTTGCTTGCTCGGTTGTCCTTTTCGAATTTGTGCATCCGCTCGCCTCTGCACCTGTTCTGTATTAGTCACAATGCTTTGTCTGCATATACAATGACACCGATTGATTCCTTGCTTGTGTTGGCTTGCTCCGGTTTGATTGCCGTTGTTTCTTGAAGAACTGCGTGTTCTTGGCAGTGGTGTCCTAGCCATGCGGCAGAACACGCATTTGCGCCTTTCGCATTTCCTTTGCTTGTAGGGCTAGGGCTGATGCATCAATGTGTTTGATCGTGCATGGCAGAGCTGCTTCGGTACACCATGGGCATTTGTGGCGAAACCCGCGTCTAGCAGCAGCGAGCAGAGTGTGGAAGCTCCAGGTTTCCAAGGCCAGCAGCGCTTCGATTCAGCTCATTCGAGCAATGCGTGGGAGGAAGTGCCTTTGCCGCATACACTCCGCCTGATTAGAGCTCTCCATGGCTGACCTTGAAAGAACTAGCATATCCTCTTTTCATCAGCACCGCGGCGCACAGCAACTCTTTGGAGAACTGCGCCTTCGCGAAGAGACTCGTCGTTCATGTGGGTGTCGATCTGCCAGTACAAAGGCACGCTGACCTGAGTGGATGTCATTTCTGCAACCGGTGAGACGATATGCAGTGCCTACTAGGCTGAGGAGAAGAGGCTGTAAAGTCTTAAGAGAAGTAATGCCAAACACAGGAAGGACAGCCTCGGTTCTGGCTCACCAAAAAGGTCATTTCAGCTCCAGCTTAGATTCTACACGGACATACTGCGAACTGAATGAAGTCGGGAAAGGGGCTGCCATGAGATGCGTAGCCTTAGGGCAGAAGGCCCCCAAGAAACTTCCCAAAAATGCAGTCACGAACATGAGGACCCCAGAAATAAACCAAATCTGCGGTGCAGCATGACGTACACACCTCCAAAGATCAGCCTTTTTCTAAGAACGGCGCAGCCCAAAAGGTGAAACTCGAGGATCCCACATCCTAACCCCCCTACCACCCCAAAGCCCAAGCACAACATTACCACCCCCCCCGCCTACTACCCCCTAGGTTCTCCCTTCATTAGGCGAATTTAGGGATTAAATAAGGAGGGAAGCAAGGTCAGTACTAACTATCGGGGGTTGTGCATACTCTTTGTGTCTGCGCAGCTTGTGAGGACCATCTCCGGAGACCCTGAAGCCTGAACCCTGAGTCAGGGACTTCTAAGCATGCCTTCGCTCCGGCATCGTTAATGACGTAGGCAGTTGTCTCCTGGGCATCAACCGCACAGATAGCTTCTAGATGCCAATCACAACATCTTCTGCCAAGGCACCCCTACAAATAGCTGGTACATAATGATATAGTAGTCGTAATTTTTCTAATTCCTGGCCAGGTTCGCGGAAGCCCTTGTACAGCCGCCGGACGCCTCTACCCACCTCGTAAAGATGCTGCCTGCACCACAAGACATGTCGTGCCATAAGACGCTCGCAGCAAGAAAAGAAGCCTTCCAAAGCGCCAAGAAGAGTAGTTCTGACAATAACTATGGAAGAAATGGTCCCGGCATCGAGCACGAGAAGTGCTTGCTCAGGCCTTCGGAGAAGGTCTTGACCACCAAGGTAAACGATCTCCCAATCCTGCAAAGCGTGCGTGGGGTGATCAACCAGTAGCGGCCATGGTATGGTCAGCGATGTTACCTTCATCGTCACGACTAATCATCTCAGCGTAGAAGTATGTGTAAGTGACAGCAGTGATGATATTTGCAATATGTCAGGACGGCCTCAGGCACATGAGACAGCCGTTCGAGGAGCACTTCTTCTGAGAAGCCCTGCGCAAACTCGCAGTCGTCCTGGCAAAGCTGAGCGCTGCTATGTGACGGTTTGACCAAGAATTGCTACCAATTGTCCTCAACATCTGGGTTGCTATTGTTACCCGCACTGTTTGTTCTGACGTTGGCTAAAAGTACTACTGATGATGCTCCTTGGTCTTTATGCCGAGAGTTTAGCATCATGTGCAGCTGTCCTCGATGACCAGAAAAGGCGCCCGTGGATCCACTCCATCTAGGTTGCAACAGAGAGACAAATCCCAGCAGCACTAAATTCCATGAGCACTGAACTGCGAGCACGTGCATCTGAGCGCCAACCTTCTGCACACTTCTGGACGATGTCCCTCCAAATGAGCCTCAATTCACAACTGCCCTAGTCGCTTATTCAGAACATGCACTTACAGAGCTCCCTCAGACCACTGCGCTTCAGCTTATGTGTCGTGCTATGCAAAATCCATATCTGACTTCATATCATGAAGAAGTAATGCTCCCTGTGTCTCTACCTAACAATCTAAAGGAAGACCCTCCGAAAATGGCCGAAGCAAGTCAGCAACCTGTTTTGTGTTTTGCAGGTGAAGCTGCATGTGGGATAGCGCGCAACCAATGGCGCCCGCAGTGAGATCAGTGCCAAAGAGCTTCCTCATGCAGCATTCAACCACAAGAACAAAAAATCCATCATCTGAGGGCTACTTTGCCGTGAGACGTTGTCGTCCCAATTCTCGCAGTTTCGAAGCCTCCTGCCTACTCGTCCAAAACTGGTGCGCTTCAACAGGTACAGGCCGCTGCTAGACATCTTGAAGATACTGCCACATCGCGACCAAACTGCCTTTTAGGGTTTAGGGCCTAACCTCCTTAAAGGGGGGTATATGGGGGTTATATATAGGGGAATACTACTAAGGGGATATTAAGGGGGATATCTTAGGAGGACCCCCCGCCCTGTAATAGTGGTATAATAAGAATATAAGAGGACCCTAATATAATCCCTCTTATCAATTGTAGTCACTATTACTGGGTGGGGGGGTCCACCTAAATGATAACCCCAATACTAACCTATTATAGTAGTTTCCATTTTCTTTTCCATTATCCCAAGATAACCCCAATATAACCCATCTCTTTCTGCAGCTGTTGCTCTGCTCATCTGGCAAGTAGTAGCGAGGCAGCGCCTCCATCGAGATGATGCCATTCCTTCGGTGGCAAGGGTTTAGGGTTTAGGGTTTATAGGGTTTAGGGTTTATAGGGTTTAGGCTTTTAGTTTTTAGGCTTTTAGGGTTTAGGCTTTAGGGTTTAGGGTGGCAAGTGTGGTAGTTTCCCAAAATAGGGGAACCCCAATATAGACCCCCAAATACGATGATCCTTACTATAGGGACCCCCAAAAAAGTACCCTCTAATTTTGGGAAACCCCCAAGTCTATGCAAGCTTCATCCCTAGGCTTCGTGGTGGCTAGAAGAGAATAAGGGATTATAATTCGTTTGCACTCCCTTTTATAAAATATTCCTTGATTCCCTACTACCCCCCCCCACCGGTAAGTAGGTGAGTAAGCCCAAGACTAGGCAAGGCCTGAACTGGGTTGCTGTTAAGGAACTTAAATTAAGGTACTATGATAAGGTATACAGGGTATGTAGGGTATATAGGGTTCACGATTTAGGGATTTAGGGTTTAGGGTTGCCATAACAAGGAAGCCCCAATATTTAGTCATTTTAGGTTCCTTAACAGCAACAACCCAGTGAGTGATACAAAGATGGCACTTTGCCTAGGGCAAGCACCACTACATGCAGTTCTCATGGTGCCATTTGATGCCTGATGACTCTTCGGAAACTATTCCTACTACCAGCATTATTGCCATGATCGCCATTACTAAAAATGTTGCTACAGCTATCATCTTTTGTTCTTTTTATCACCGCTGGTTTAAATTGGCCCTATTGTTGTTAATTCTCAGTTCAGTCGAAGGCTCATGGCCAGGTCTGGAACATCCAAATCGCGCCCATTGACGGCACTGAAACCTCAAAAATCAGCAATTTCTCAGCTTCTCTTTCATACACTGCCCCTGACTAACATGTAAACCCATAATTTCCAAACCCTAAACCCATAAAGCCTAAAACCCAACCATTGCCTCTACACTGCATCTCACAGGACAAGGTGCGCTCCACAGGCATTCGCAGCCGCTGAAACTGCCGCTGCATGAACTCCCATCGTTCAGGTCGATGGTCTAGGTTCCTTACTGGTGGTGCCAGCCCAGCAACGCGATGTGCCAAAGTCCTCCCTGACCCCGAACGCATCATCAAAACCCTCTAGGGGAGTTGTCGCCCTGAGCCCACGAACGCGGGTTGTTTCCAAATCCTTCCCAAGGCTCATGCAGTAGATGTGTGCAAGGCTTTGCCAGCCAATGGCCTCACTGGGCCGCACGGCCGTGGCCATGGGCGACAGCGATCCGAGGCGACTCCTTCAGGATTTAGGGTTGAGGGGTTCAGGGATTTGGTTAGGGGGTGGAGCTTGATAATGTTGACTTCCCGACCACAAGCCCCCCTAAGAATGAAATGCCTGACCTGCATCCACAATAAGCTCCACTACATTGCAGAAATTCCGGCTCCGGGTCGCGTTTTTGTTGAGGTAGCGACGTGTGACGGAATGCTATCGCTAACGCGACTAGAGAGACCGGAGGGCTCTAGAATGCTATTGCTAAAGTGATTCGAGAGGCCTGAGGGTCACTCAGAATAACAAAGGCCCCATGTAGCCACTATGTAGTCGAAGGAATCCTTATCATTAAGCTGGTGTGCGGGTTGCTGTCAGCCCAACACCCTAAAACCTGATGACTTCCATTTCCTTATCCTATACCTCTCCCCATGTAACCTCTTTCAAGGGCATGGAGGGGGAGGGGATTGCATACATAACTACACATATAAGTACATGTATATACACATCTACATCAGCTACGTTTGTATATATACATATATGTATACACATATACATACCTATATATATATATGTATATTTACACATGTAATGAGTCCCTCCCAAACATGAGAAGTCTTCCTGGCTCTTCGCGGCCGCTGCACCAGGCCCGTGAGCCTTCGCAGTGCCAGGGCTTGCTTCGGATGATGGCCTCACATGGGGGGAGGCGGTTGGGGGAACATAGGGACTATAAAGGGGTATATAGGAAGGTCTATAGGGATTATAAAGGGGTATATGTAGGAATATTGGGGAATATTGGGTGAATGGAAAGCAAAAAAAGGAAACTACTAATTATGTTGTAAGGATGCTGGTCTCACGAATTGGGGGGGGGGGTGGCGTAAGGGAAAGCGGATTTTAAAGGGGTCAAAAGGGGGGTGTAGGGGCAACGGAAACATGGAAGCTGCTCACTATCTTATTAGTGCTCTGCGTAATTTCGGGGCATGTTTCATTAGAAATAATTGAGTCAAATGGAAAATGAAATGGAACCTGGGGTCATGAGAGGGTTTATAGGATGGTGGCCTCACCAGTCCTCGCAATCTCTGCGAAGCGAACGTCTGCACCCAAAAATGCAGTCATGGGAAACATGGCAATGATGACAGAAACTGGGACAGTGTTGATGCTAGTGACCATGGTGCTATTATTTGCAATATTGCGAAGGCGGCGTTAACAACAGAGTTGCCAGTCAGGAGACCGCATGCTCCAAACAACTGACTGTCTCATGCGCCGCCCCTGCGTCTGCATGGATGCCAAGTCGCGAGCGAAAAGCGCAGCACCTGAATGCAGGCATTGGACAGAACAAGTGCAGACCAGACAGCCCTGCGCTACATATTTGAAATCTTATCCTATGGACAAGCCTTTGCCAGGTCTTGCCCACACACCATCCACACCAGTCATGTGAGATCAGCTTAGATCCCTAAGCCACCTCTGCGACCTAATGTGGCTTCATGCTTCCCGCAGGTAGCCGTGATTTTGAATTCCGATCCCAACCTCACCTATTTAACGTACTACTGGTTTACAACCTAGTAAAGCTCAGGCACCTTTTCCCCACTTCCAGGAATCAGTCTTCCCGGAGCTACCTCACTGTAATCTTAGCCACCAGTTCCCAAACCCTTGCAACTGTCCCTCAGCAATATTTGATGAACACCCTTCGGGTGAATGGAAAAAGCTACGCTACTCCAAGGCTGACAAGGCACAAAGCCCTAAACCCACTGAAACACTGAAATCCACCAAAGCCCAAACCCGCCTAGTACACAGCTGTCTATCCCGCCAGAAACCCGCCTAATACACATTTGTCTGTCCCGCCTAATACACATCTGTCTATCCCGCCTGATACACATCTGTCTATCCCGCCTCATACACGTCTGTCTGTCCCGCCTAATACACATCTGTCTGTCCCGCCTAATACACATCTGTCTGTCCCGCCTAATACACATCTGTCTACCCCGCATCTGTCTGTCCTGCCTACACATCTGTCTGTCCCGCCTAATACGCATCTGTCTGTCCCGCCTGTCTGTGCCGCCTCAAACACATCTGTTGCCTTCTGTCCCGCCTAATACACATCTGTCTGTCCCGCCTAATACACGTCTGTCTACCCCAACTTTGTCTGTCCCGCCTAATACACATCTGTCTGTCCCGCCTAATACGCATCTGTCTGTCCCGCCTGTCTGTCCCGCCTAAAACACATCTGCTGCCTTCTGTCCCGCCTAATACGTATCTGTTTGTCCCGCCTAATACACATCTGTCTGTCCCGCCTAATACGCATCTGTCTGTCCCGCCTTATACACATCTGTCCTTCCCTCCGCAAGAACACGGAATACGGAAATGTCTGTGTTATCAATGTTATCAACGCTATGCGCTTATAGTACCCCCCTTACCGGTGTTACTGCTGCTTTTCCGGTGTTACCAAGAACGCTTTATTATCATATACTGATACTATCCGAAACAATAGGGATGGGGGAGTTTTGTTTTAGGTGGGGATTAACTCCTATTGACTTAGAACCACAAGCTTCAACCTGAGCTGTTTCCTCAGTAGGATGCAGATGAATATCTGAAGCTCAATGTCCTTCTTGGGCTTACACGTTTTTTCGAAAAGAAATTCAACGCCAGCAGGATGCAAACAAAGATCATAAGTAACTCCATTCAGCCAGTATTTGGCTCAGGTGGTAGTTTCCTAAAACAAAGGGGCCTTAATATAGATCCCCAAATATTACACTCCTTATCATGGGGACCCCCCAAAATAAAACCACTAAATATGGGAAACTCCCAAGTAAGCTCTTCACTGGCCCAGGGGCCCAGGCATCCCACCAGTGCTGCTGCCCGGCGGCTTAGTGGCGGGGCTATCCCACCTTAGATGGCTGCTGCGCGCACTAACAATCATGCTGTTCCTGCTATGCCCAAGTGAGCTATAGTCTAAACTCCTTAAAGGACATAGGGATTATGTAGAGGACTGCTGAAAGGGGTTGCTCAGGGGGATACTAGGACCTCAAACTGTAATTCAAGTAGTGGCTATTTTTCAAATTTCATGCAAGTGCAGCAGTTTCATGCCATTATTCCTGGAGTCGGCGTGCCAATCTTTAGTGCTGCAGCTACTTATCGCAGTTGTGTGCTGATGCCTTCCATAGCGCTGGAGCAAGCTCCGTCACCCTAAACCCTAAACCCTAAACCAACCTTATAAAGCCAAGACCAGGACTTGGAGCTGCCTGATGGGAGGCTGGCAGTAAGCCGGAGAAGCCGGAATCAACAGTACTCAGCTGACTGTATTTTTGTGTGATTTAAAGATGTGCGCCGCAGCTGCTGCTTCTGACGGTAATGAAACCACAACCGGCATCGCCCGGCCACTATCTGCGGACAGTATGACCATTTCTACCATCCAAAAGGACTATGGTCAATGCTGCAAATCTGTAAACGACTTCTGCAGTCATGCGCTCTGCGTGTGACCTTGCTCCAAATCCAGCAACCCCTACCCATGCGTAACAAGCCGCATATGTCGGTCCGGCTTGCTGCAGAGTGCATCTGGTGTGGTGGCCAGACCTCGGCCAGGCTAACGCACCAGAGGTATTCTGCCTCACCAGGCGCTGGGCCAGTCATTGGTTCAAGGGCTGCACCCTGACGCACCATTCAACGGTCTTGCCATTGATTGTGACATCTACTCGGAAATTGATATCTGGGCTGGAGCAAGCTGTGTCAAGCTTGCTGGTCGCTTCACCATCTATGTTGCCTAGGTGCCGCATGCCACTGTCGAAGCCACATAATGTGTTCCCTGTCCAAAAAAGGGAAGGACACCTAAAATACCTTGCAAAGTCAAGCAGCAGGACGAGGCGGATCAAGCCGAACGCTGGCCAACATCTTGGGATGCGCTTTGGCACGCTAGCCTTCCTCTAATGATGTTGCCTGCAGACTTGACACTACCAAACCAGGGCGAGAACAGGCCCGAATGACCATTGAGTACTGATGGAAGGAGCGAAATAGGACAACATCAATGTCGCTGGGCTTAGGCTTCGGCATGCATGGATATCGCCTGAAGATGAAATGGTTCCAGCACTGTATAGGACTACTTGGCATGCCGAAATTTCTGCGAGTAAGCGTAACCATTCTGCAAGCAGCATAAGTATAATGCATATCACACCTTGTGAGACATGATCGTTTATATGCACCTTGGACATGCATTCTGAAATCTGGCCCGGCCTTCACCACGGATGCACCTGGGACCTATGTGTTAGCCCTGATAATGCTCGCATTCATGTTTCTGTGATCAGCTGGAGCCAAATGGCTGGCACAGCTGAATGCATTTAAGGCTTAAGGTTCATGATGTTCAAGATTCAGGGTTTATGGTCCAGGGTGACCGCCAGGGATATTCGCACTTGAAACTCATGATGCTTCTCGATGCCAGAATGGCTGAGAATGTGCGTGAATCACAAAAACTTTGCACAACAGTGGACTAGGCCTGCAGTGTGCCTGTGCGCAGGTCACAGCTTCACAACATCTTGCTAGTTCTTAAAAGGGAATAAGGGCATATAGTCCCCACATAATTCCTGCATAGCATCTTTCCTTCTTCCCTACTGAGAACCAGTAAAAGATGCTGTCAACCGGAGCTGTGCCTGACTGGAGGAAAGGCTGCAAATGGATATGCTCAGCAGCGTGGAGCCCTGAACATCTCACCATATCCTGCAAGCGTGATGTTGAGGAATATCAGTCTCCGAACCCTAGGTCCTAAACCGTAAGCATCCAGTACAATATTAATGCCTTATAAAATAACGGGAGTAGTATCCGCGTACAAACCGTACATCGACATGGCTATCCTTAGCGCTGGTTCGTGGGTTCGTAGTCTACACTACAGGCAATCGACTACGTCATCCCTATGTCATCCCTTTCACCTTCCCCCCCTTAGAAACGCAGCAAAACGAAAGTCATCTCTAAGTCATCCCTTTGCCAACTTCCCCAGTGAACACAGCCGGCGGGGAAGATTA